TTAAAGGGATTGGATTGTGGGAGGAAGTGTGCAAATATTCTCTTGAGCTTACAGCACTTTTTTCCCCTTAATTTTGCTTTTGAGTCAAGGATATGATGGCACCTCATGAGTGATGGAAATTTATGGGATTGAATTCACACCATTCATCACCTAAAATTGTTTTATTTTAAAGACATTCCCAACTCACTTTTACTTTTTTAGGATACTTTAACAAAAGCCAACGTCGAAGAGGACTTCATTTCTTTTCATGGAAAAGCTGTAATTGCTTCAAACACCACACCACACCACTCTAGCCAGGGACAACCTTCCACCAATCGAATCACAAATTCCCGAGTGTTATGTCGGACGAATAAAGCACAGCCATTGGCAGTGGTGGGAAGCGCTCAACAGTATCTGCTTTGTCTTCCTGGAGAAGACGACAGTCTTTATACACCCTCGAAGGAGATTCAGAAGCAGAGCATTCGGCAAGCGCTCCAGAAGCGTTTCCTTATATTCCCCAAAGACGGACCAGACAGTGAGTTACCAAAAGCAAAATAATATTGCTACTTAATATTTTATGAGTAAAAGAATTTACAAACTGATGTGGATACAGGTTGGCATGGAATTAAGACAGCGGCTTGTAGTTCAGCTAATTCAAGACCTTTCAATCTGTGCGAGCGCACTGGAGGGGAGGAAGAGTACTTGTTTACCGATTACTTTCAATGTTTGACTGACATTTTGAAAGTTTCGGCACTTAGCCATGTCTCAGGACTGCCTGTCAGCTCCAATATTCGGTATATCTCAACAGCTTAACAGTGAATTTTTATTTTTAGACGATTGTGTCGATCACTTCAAAAAAGGAAGCTGTATCATGATTATGCATTTGCGGGAGTGGCCGCAAGCCAGGGGTCTCATTAGTGTGCGTGTCAACGTCAGCAAAAAACTCCCATCGTTTAACTGTCTCGCTGAGCGCTTTAAAGCTCCCGGTCCAGGCTTTCACACGCGTTACTTCTAAGCCTAGCGAAGAGTTTGTAATCCTTTGGATCAAAACACAAATCTCTTTTGCCTTTCAGCAATTAGCAGCGAAGTGTTAGCGGACTCTGCAAAGAGGTCTGAAAAGGCAGCTTTTGCGCGTCAACTGATAATGTCTGCTCTCAACATTCTTGTTCGCGAATGTGAAAAAGAGGAAAGAACTAAACAAGGTAGGCTATAAAATACGTTTAAAGAACGTTGATATTTTTCCGACATTGGGCCAAGAGATTGCTTTTGCAAAACGAAAGGCATCATTTAATTGCTTTCCTCTTTCAATTGTTGCGCTTAGGAGGTTTACCCAAATTTTATCCACCGGAAGGGGTTTGTGTTTTGAAAGTTTGGTAGTTTGCCTCCAGCCATTAAATGGTGTTATTTTGGTGTTTCCATCGCCGATTTAACAGCAGATTAGCTTTTATTTGCGCGTATATTGTCTGCAACATCAAAAGCTTGCACGTAACTTTTTTGAATTCAAATAGCGCGTTTTTGTTGTCAGATGAAATGCGCCATCTAATCTATTGCTTATCTATTTTGCTCATTCGCCAATTTCGTAAATTTGCTCTTTTCGTGCCGCAAATACTTGTTCTATGCAGTTGCATTTTGAAGTTGCTCCATCCCATTTTTCGATTGCTCGTTTGGATACTGCTTCCACTTTTATTTACATCCTAGCTGTATTCCTGACTAACTGGACTAAAGTAGAAGCGTAAGGACAACTGAAACCCGGTAAACCAATTACTCACGGAAACAGGGCACAAGAGCAAATGTGCATCGTTTTGTTAGCTACCAGTAGATTAAGATTTGAGTGAGCTGCTTGATTTTTCACCGTGCATGACCTGAGGTGAAAGTGAGTGCCTGTGAGTTTGTGGTAGTCACCCATTTACATTTAACTGGATGTCAGTTAAAAGAGGTTGAATAGATCGTGCAGTGGAAATATAGGCCGGGATAAGACCCCTGTGGCAGTTATGCGGATTAAACCTTGCTTCTTAAATCAATATTAATTCCCTACTTATATTACTATTCAGTAGTACAGTTGATTCCTGTTTTCAGTGCGTGTAAATTGAGGCAAAAGTTATGCTTATTAACACATTTTTTAATTTGCTAAATTTCCATCCATTATTTTCTATAGTTTAAAGGCAAATAAAACTCACGTTAC